GAGTTGGGGGTGGCCTACTTTGAAGTACATTCGGGGATTCTGCGTATGGTCCACATCTATGAATACATGGCCATGAACTTTGCAAGCCAACCTCTAAAGGGTGATTTGGTCGTGTCAAGCTGCTTGCTTGAACGTTGTATCATGGTCAAGGAGAAGTTGATTCACATGTACCGGAGGTGCAAGCTTCTTTGACCTTCTTAGAGGCAATGTTACGTTGGAGATAGTAGCTAACGGACATATCGTACAGCTGCAAGAGGAGTACCTCAAGACCAATAATGGGGATGTTCCAAGCCTTCGACGCCAGACTTCCGAATGGAAAGCCCCTTCCCCTCTCCTTCCAGCCGCCGAAATCAAGGGTATGGCACAGAAGCAGGATGATACATTGAATGCCGGATTAAGTACACCATTGGAAGTTCAGAGACCAAGGTCAGCTTTACACGCTGGGGACTTCACGGAGGTACATGGAAAAGTGAAGGAAACTTCACGAGACTCGCCACGGGTTTCCAGGCATTTTGATGCTTTCCCAAAAGGGGCCCTAGGGACTTCACCAACGACTCCCTGGTATGATCCGCCTTCATCATTCAAGGAATTTGATGCGAGCTCCCAAGTCAGTCCCCGTGACCGAGACTACGCTACCTCAGACCGAAGGCCTTGGAGGAGCCGAGCGCCATCACTTAGCTCGTACTCATCATCAAGCTATGTACTCAAGGCCCCCACAACTCCATTGGTCCAGCAATCAAACACCACCGATCTGGACTTCTCCCCAACGATCCGTTCCGTTAGCCCCGAGAAAGGTAACAGGCGCCATACATTACCTCCCAATACCCTTCAAGATATGCACTCGTCCTCTAGTGGCCAAGCTTCGACTTCTTCACAGGCAGCTCGTCATCCTCCATCGTATCGAAGGGAAGGTCCTTTTCCATATGGCCACCATCAGCGCAGATCTTTGACTTCGAATTGGTCTTTGCAAGCTTCCAGCTCCCCGCAAACGCCTGCGTACCTACGCCCAAGGCGGACATCATTCTCTTCCGAGGCTTCCCCTCGGCAGCATGCCCACATGGTGGGATCGTACGAGGAGTCCATCCTTCGTGGATGGATGTCAACCGCTCCCTCTAAGCCTCTAGATTTTACGGCCCAGATTGGCGTCCTTGGTAAAAGCAATTGCAAGCCCAAATGTCCAGCTCATGTGACTGTTCCTTTTCCTGCGGTGTTTTACAGCTGGAGTGCAGGCAATGGTAGGAGCTCCGTGAACGATGATCCTAGCCCCTACGTGGGCCACATCGATCTGCAGCACTCGTTATCACCTCCAGAACCTGAAATGGCTTCAACGCTCCAAGCAGAGGTTAAGGTTGAATCTCAGACCAAAGTGAAGGGTGCGGAGCATGATACAACCGCTGCCAAACTTACTCCGAGAAAATCCAAGAAGAGAAGGCGTACCTCGCCTGCATCTGCTCCGCCCAGAGGGAGCTACAGGATACCTGAGCAGGGCCAATTACAGATTATCATCAAGAACCCCAACAAGACAGCGGTGAAGCTTTTTTTGATCCCGTATGACTTGTCTGGAATGGAACCAGGCACCAAAACGTTCGTGCGCCAGCGTTCCTACTCGGCCGATCCCGTCATCGATAGCCCCCTGGCCTCAAAACCTGAACCGGACGCAGCATTTATATCCGGCAAACCAACTCTGCGCTATCTGATCCATTTGAACATCTGCAGCCCTTCAAAAGGACGATTCTACCTTTACCAGCAGATCAGGGTTGTCTTCGCGAACCGCGTGCCAGACAACAAAGAGCAGTTGCGAAACGAGATCCAGGTACCCCAGCCAAGATTCAGCGCTTATAAACCAAGTAGAGACCCGTTGTTTGGTGCCAGCTTGAGCGCAGGTGCGAAGCTAACGGCAGAAAAGGCATTTAGAAGACGGAGCTCCGGGTTCGGGTTTGATAGCGACGAGGCTGATGGTCATGCTACGCAGACTTTTACAGGCGGATCAACGTTCCCCTTCATTACTGGCCCCCCCGTTCCTCCTATTCCTGCAATACCGTTCAATATCGCAGTGTCACGGCAAAGGCCTACCAAGGGCCAGGGGAGCAGCAACAGTGAAGCCATGGACCTGGATACTTCGAGGCCCACCACCGCGTCGGACATGCAATCGCCATTGAGCGACAAGACTACCATTTACTTGAATGGCGTGCAGCCATCAAGCTCATATAAGAGCAATTCCTCCAGCAATGGTAGCGACGGCTACAACAAGCTGAACAAAGGAGAGTCTGGCTACGGCGGCGTCTTTGGGAGGCCTGGTACTCCGGAGCCCGGCGAAGGCTTATTGGCAAGGAGACTGAAAGGGTTAGGTGTCCAGCGAGATTCGAGACAGGTAGAGGAGGAGATGTGATTGTATTGATCATCAATCATGGTGGAATTGCACGACTTTTTGTTGGGGGGGGGGAGTTGTCCGGGTTTTAGGCCTTGAGCATAGATAGCGGCGGCATTCCGAATACCTATAATATTGTCCGTACAGAGTTCGATGATGAAAAAAAGGTTCCCCTTGATGAATAGTATCCGCTTCAGTTTCGACACTTGAAGCTCTTGGCGGGACCGTTCCTCTTGGCGCCTCGGGCGTGTGGTCTGAGCTTCGGCAGACCTATTTCCCGAGCCCACCTCTCGCCCGCCGCCACCGGCTCCTTTTATTAACGAATGATACTCATAGTATAAAGAGGCGACAAGTATAGGCTTGATAATTCAATGTGCTCATCATAATTTGCGCGTTCTTTACTGGCTTGTTCATTGAAGGGCACATTCTCTTTGGCCTCTGTAAGATTACGAGTAAGTATCAATCAAAAAGTTCTTTGTTTGCGGCTTCAAATTTGACTATTTGACCCAAATTTGACCGCTCGCCAATAATTTTAATTTCTCCCCCTTCGCGCAGCATGGCCGCCCTTATGAATGGAAGCTTTGCATCGCCAATTGCAAGCGCAGACTACACTGCTCTCAGCCCAGCAGAGGGAGGACTCCTGTCAAGAGTGTACAATGGCATGAGCGGACTCAGTGTCACAGTCACCCTGCTGTTGATACTTGTCGCATATGATCAATGTGAGTCTACATTGCATCCACGGCTTCTATGGGTCGCTGAGGTATGCCGCAGTCAAATATGTCTGGAACAAGGGATCAATTGTTGGACCGTCGTGGAAAATACCCTTCATTGGGCCGTTCCTGCAATCCGTCAATCCAAAGATGGACGAATATAAGGCAAAGTGGGCGAGTGGAGACTTGAGCTGCGTTTCCGTCTTCCATAAGTACGGACAAGCAGCTCTGATACCGCCAATTGCAAATGCTGATCGCGCTGTTCTAGGTTTGTCGTCATGGCATCGTCTCGGGATATGGCGCGAAAGGTCTTCAATTCACCTACGTTCGTCAAGCCTTGCGTGGTAGACGTAGCAATTAAGCTGCTCCGGCCTACAAATTGGGTGTTCCTGGATGGCAAGGCACACACCGACTATCGCAAAGGTTTGAACGGCTTGTTCACCCGCCAGGCATTGGAGGCATATCTGCCAGGTCAAGAGGAGGTCTATGACAGATACTTCGCGAGGACTTTGGAAATATCTGAACAAGGAGACAAGGAGAAGGGTGTACCCTTCATGCCATTTTTCCGAGAGCTCATGTGCGCCGTATCCTGCCGGACCTTCGTTGGCCACTACCTGTCCGAAAATGCAGTGAAGAAGATTGCAGACGATTATTGGATGATAACCGCGGCCCTTGAACTTGTCAACTTTCCAATCATCCTTCCTTTCACCAAGACGTGGTATGGGAAGAAGGCGGCGGACATGGTCCTTGACGAATTCGCCAACTGCGCCGCAAAGAGCAAAGCACGCATGGCCGTCGGCGGTGACATCACTTGCATCATGGACGCCTGGGTAAAGTCTATGATCGATTCCACTAAATATAATGAGAAAATTGCCAAGGGAATTGCGGTCGACCCGGAAGCGAAACCTGCCACCCTCGTCCGCGACTTTTCCGACTTTGAGATCTCCCAAACTGTCTTCACGTTTCTTTTTGCCTCGCAAGATGCGACCAGCAGCGCCTGTACCTGGCTCTTCCAAATCATGGCCGACAGACCCGAGATTCTCGACCGCGTACGCGCAGAGAACCTTGCAGCCCGCAACGGTGACAAGGATGTTCGCTTCAGCATGGACTTACTCGAAAACCTCCCATATACCCGCGCTGTTGTGAAAGAACTCCTACGGTATCGGCCGCCAGTTATCATGGTGCCCTACGTTGTCAAGAAGCCCTTCCCTGTCACAGATAGCTATACCGCGCCTAAAGGTTCCATGATAATACCGAGCTGCTGGCCCGCACTACATGACCCAGAAGTCTACCCAAATCCTGATTCATACGATCCCGAGAGATGGATCAGTGGGGATGCGGAGAGCAAGAGTAAGAACTGGTTAGTGTTTGGTACTGGTCCACATTACTGTCTGGGACAGACATATGCACAATTGAATTTGATCGGTATGATTGGAAAGGCCAGTCTGTGCCTAGACTGGTCGCATAAGCCTACCGAGAAGAGTGAAGATATTGAGGTTTTCGCCACGATATTCCCACAGGTGAGTCTGTCATCCGGAAAAAAAAGCAACGAAGTGCTGATAGTTGGCAACAGGATCACTGCCCGTTGGTTTTCACAAAGCGATCATGAATGCTGCCGTCTTTGTTTCTCAGCTTGCACCAGTCCTCATATCATTGTAATTAGATTTCCCTTTTTTTTTCTTCGTCCCGCGACATTACATTCCCCGGAGTCGTTTTGGGTGGCTTTTATGGCCGTTCTGGGCGTTCATATAGCGTCTGATTCATTACTTCGAAGTTCCAACATCCTCGTCATATAACCACTCCGCGTCCGTTGTACCCTCTTCTGGACATCGCTGGATGTTACACTGCCTCTATCTGTTCTCTCCAATACGTGATCTCTATGGCAAGTTTCAATATTCCGAGGACTCTCACCTCCTAACCCTTCACCGTTCAACCTCCCCTCCCCTCCCCTCCCACTCGATCCACCCGCCTTTCATATCCCCGGCCTGGACTCCCACCCACTCCCTCGCCATCCTAGCTGCAGCTCTACTCCTCACCCCGGCCTTGCAGTAAAAAACCACCTCCTCCACCCCCGTCCCCCCTCCATCTTCCCCCCCGTCCCCCGCTTCCCCATCGGCATCCGCACCCTCAACCCCATCCTCCGCACCCAACCCGCCGCCCGCCTCCCTCCCCTTCGCTTCCGCCGAGTACGGCAACTCCGACGTCGACGTCTTGTACGCGTGCGGTTTCCCGAACCCGAACCTGTCGAAAAAGTCCCCGTCGCTCAGGTGGAACGCGTCCGGGTTCGACGTCAGGGGCATGGAGTAGGCGCCCGGGATCCGCCCCGATTCCTGCACTTCGGCCGGCTCGCGGACGTCGATGATGATGGTGCGGGAGGGGGAGGGGGAGGGGTCGGCCGTGAGGGCGCGCACCTCTTCGAAGGTGTAGGGTCTGGGCGCCGAGGGTTCCGTGCTGTGGTGGTGTCGGTGGCGGGGGGTGAGGGGAGCGGGAGATGGGAGTGGACGGCGGAGGAGGAGGTGGGTGTGGTGGTGGCGGCGGAAGAAGCGCGGGGGAGCGGCGAGGACGGGTTGTCGGGTGAGGATTGGGATGACGGTTTGGGCGAGGAGGGAACGTGGTGGGGCCATTGGGATGTTGGGGAGCTGTACTTATTGGAGGAGAGAAGGTTGGGGAGAGCGAGCATGAGCTCCGGCCGCCCCGTCATCTATCGACCGAAGTTTATCCAAGACGGACTATTTTCGCATTCAGTTGTCACATCACACCAACACTTTTAGACAAAATGTAGAACAATCTTTGGAGGATAGTCGGGCTCGTCCACGTATGTTTCTGTCTGGCTCCTTCGGGATCGAATAACCTATCAATGACATCTGGGAAGGCGCTCCCCCTTGGTGCAAACTTCGTCGTCAAGCCCCACTGCTGGATCGCTCTCTTTTTCCGAAGAAGCCATAACCCCTCCGTTGCACTCCCCTCCGCACGACCCTCGAAACAAACGAAAATGGCACTACGAAGGAGGCGAGCGAGGATCTCGTCTTCCCACAGCACAAAGTTCGAAACCGAACATGCGGACGGTAAGCGCGAGACGCGAACTAAATAGTACGCTGGGTGAGTAATGGATGGCGATCCGAAGGGTTTGCTCTGCGCTGGCGAGACCGGTGGGTGTGGCGGTTATGCAGGTCTTTGGACGGGAAGCTGCCAAAGGGGGCTGTCGGCGCCTGAGACGCCTGAGGTCTGTGATCCGCTGAGGGAGGAGCTTGAGGGGGTGAGATGGTGGAGAAGACGGTTGGGGAGGTGGAGATGAATACTCGGTAGGTCAGGAGCTGTGAGACTGCTAGGAAGAGCCGCTGGAAACAATGGTCTCTAGATCAATACCAGCATGACGCCAAGAATGATTCGACGAGGTCAAGGCAAGAGGTACAATGTTTGCACAAAAGCATCTGAACACTCAGTCATTCTTCTCTACTAGCTTCCACAAATCAAAAGGTACTCTGCAACGCCGATGCATCAAATGATCCCTCCCTCGCGGCTCGGTGCAGATTCGATACCGCAAACATTGTCTCCCAGACCAACGCCGCCCCCATCCCAACCACTTCTCTTACCTCAAAACAGACCGAACTTAGATCTTATACACAATACCGTCGCTCTCGGAATACCTATTTCACCAATCGTTATTAGCCAAACTCCCTTGACACCAACTTCGACAAAGCGAAAAGGGCTAAGGCTCACATAATCTCATTCCTCTCCTGCATCCCCTCCAGCGCCTTCCCAGCTTCTGCCAGCCCGAACTCCGCATCCCCTGTCCTTCCCAACCTCTCATTGACTGCCTTGACAAGCGGCTCTACGTCGGCGCTCTCGTTTTGGAACACACTGGTATTCACCAATTGCCCTAATGCAGTCCGGAAGACTCGCAGGCGGTTTGCACTGATGGGCTGTTGTGAGTCGCCGTTAGTGCTGGCTTGGCTATCATCTCCTTGCGATGTGAGGAGCTGAGATGCTGGCGCTGAGGACGCAACCGACATCTGCGATTGCGTGGTGCGGCCATTGGTGCGGGGGCTGGCAGTGTACATGTCGTCATTGTCCGAGTCGCCATCACCGTCCACGTCGCCGCCGTTGTCGCCGTTAGTAGCAGCACCCCTTGTCCTTGCGGTCCCGTTGGTCCGTGTTGTTCGGCGAGGAGTGGTGCCATTCCTTCGTGGTGCTTCTTCTTGGTCTCCGTCGTCATCGTCGTCATCAGAAGAAGAGTCGCTGGACATTGCATCCGCATGGCTGACTTTCCTCCGCTTCTTCCGCTCGTCCTCGACAACTTCCTTGAAGAGGGCGAACCGGAGAATCGACTCTGCGGCTTCGGCATCTTTCTCTTCTACCTTGTGTGAGAGACGAGCTTTGGCGTGAGCCGTTGCAAGGCGGATCAGTGTTTCGAGGGTACGAGCTGTCATAGGAGAAGTCTTGCGTTGATTCCCTTCCAGCTCGTCGTTGCGAAGTGCGGAGTAGGTTGTTACGATGTGATCTGCAGCCCCTTTTGTGAGGACAGGTTTGCGCTGTAGCTTGGCGTACTGAATATACTTCTTGATGAAAGGGATACTCAGCACGTCAACTTTTCGAGCGGCGCCACGACCTGAGGTCACGGTCACGCCGGCGTGGAGCATGATGTTGAATTTTTCGTAGACTGTGGTGGGTTGGTTGGCGTCTTGTTCTTCGTCGAGGCCTACGCCGAGGGTCTGATATTGCTGTTCGCGAACTGGTGCGCCTTCTTCAGTGCCAGGCTGGCGATATCGATGCATACGGAGGACGTGCTCAGAAATCTGACGGTCGCGGAAATCATCGATATCGTCTGTGACGACGAAGAGAAGATCGAAACGGGAGAGGAGCGAGTCAGGAAGGGCGATGTTGCGGTGCGGATCTTTGTGAGGGTCGTATTGGCCGTAGATGGGATTTGCGGCTGCGATGACACTGCAGCGGGCATTGAGAGATGTGTGTATGCCCGCTTTTGCAATGGTGACGGTTTGTTGTTCCATGACTTCGTGGATGGCTACTCTGTCGATGTCGCTCATTTTGTCGAACTCGTCGATACAAACGACGCCTCGGTCTCCAAGAACCATGGCGCCGGCCTCGAGACGTCGTTCTCCTGTCTCTTTGTCTGAGGTCACTGCTGCTGTGAGACCAACGCCTGAGGATCCTCGGCCAGTCGTTGCAATTGCCAATGGTGCTGTATTCAGGACGAATCGGAGCAGCTGAGATTTCGCAGTCGAAGGGTCTCCCACCATCAAGATGTTGATATCTCCTCTTAGATGTGTACCATTCTCCAAGTTCTTCTCCATACCACCCAATAGCATGAGCAGTATTGCTTTTTTGATGTGATCATGGCCATATATACTCGGTGCTAGCGACTGTGATAATAGTTCAAAGACATTCTTTTTCTTCGATATCTTGTTGATATTTCGAATATCCGTATCTGTGATTGCCGACTGAGCGATACCCCCACCCGACTTAGAAGAGAGCATGATGACATTGTTTGCCAGTATCAGTGTCCTGAAAGTCGCACTACCTTGACCGGCATTGCGGTTCCCTAGGGACCGGTAGATACCAACGAGCTGTATTCGGTCTCCCGGCTTGACTTGGTCTACTAAATCATCGTCCATGATCACGTCCACACCTCGAGGAAGCTGTCCGGCCGGTGCACGCTCTGGCATCTCCTGTATCGAGATGGTTTGGTGATCTCTGTAAGTGCAGTAACCATATTCTGTAATGAGCTATTGATTGTCAGCGCTTACCACCAAATAGGCTCCGTCTTCCAGCATCTTACCGGCTCTCCATCCTCATCCTCTTGAGGATACACACTTGTGCTGGCGGCTCCATTCACGGTCATCGTCTGATCCCGGTATTCCCTGAACCGGAATATGTTCTTCTTTTCATTGTAGTGCACACTTTTCACCACCTTCGGGCGAACTAAAGAGCATTTCGTAACAATTCCTTCTAGCGATACCATATGGTTGAGGTGATTGGAGCTGAGGGTTCGAGGGTTGCAGGAGAATTCACCGAAGCTGCCAACGTATGCGCAGTAGTACATCTAGCAATGCAATCAGGCCTGTTGATAGGATTTCGAACGAAGAAAACTTACAACATCGTCAGACGCCTCCCTAGCAGGTCTATTGGGTAAAGCCACAATCGTATTTTTGAGCGCCTGGTCGAATGCTTGAGAGAAATCGAAAGGTGCTTGGAGAAGTCCATCTGCCAATTGTCTATTGTGTGTTCTGATCTCATCAAGGCTGACAGTAAGTCTTCGAAGACCTCGATTGAGCATGAGTATGATGTCCGCGCGGTAGCTTCGAGCGCTTTGATCGCTGGGATCTAGAAATTCTTCTGCCAGGCGTATGCGATCTCGTACTGCCTCATCGCGAAGCTGTAGACCATCCATCTTGACAGAGATAAAGTGGTAATGAATGAAGGTAGGGGATTTTCTCTTGAGATATTCAGAAGATGCGGAAGGTTGATGTTCGGTCTGTGGAACGCGTTGAAATCGCGTTCCTTCGCGGGAAGCTGGCGGCTTTGTACGTGTGAGCTGCCGTAATAGATTGGATAGGCTAGTACTATTTGGGATCTCACGCCATGCGCGTTGAGACCGCCATATATTCAAGTTTGTTGAATCTTCGTTCCGACTACATCGAAGGCCCAAAGAATACACAAAAGTCTCTGAAAGCGTCTTTCATCTATCATAACATCTTTCAGCCTCATCGCTGCTGTCAGGAATCATTGCACAACTCTATCAAAAATATCCCTGCAGTTTCGTATCATTCCCTTTCTCGACGGCTTTTGGTACATCCGCCCAATCAATCATCTTCAAGAACTCCTTATGAGCGTTCCCTACTCCACTCTTGAATCCTGAGCGACGTTCATCCGGCGTTAAGACAGGATACCGAGACGAATCGGCGCTTCTTGACTGGGACATTCCGCTCGGCCTTCGGTTGTCGCGGACACTCTTCCAGCGGAACAGCGCTGGGAACGTAGGTAGGCAGGCGCCGAGGATACCCTGGCAGACCTCGACGACGGCCCATACGCATGGCTTGACGTCGGACCCTAGTAGCTTGTTAGTGTAGTCCCGCAATACGAGCTCGATATCACGAAGTCGAGGCCTTACATGGTGCGTCTGAAAGCGAGATATTCGCCATTTGAGGAATCCGGTATAGGCTGACGCCACAAGTCCTTCACGTCTTCGGTCAATGTCACACCTACCAACGGACGGATCTGGTAACTTACAGGCTCCCAAGCGAAAATATACCAATGAGCTGAAATTTTCTCGCTTTGTCGGCGTGGAGACGCCACAGAAACGGCATTGGCAGGCAAAGTGCAATGATATCAGTAAGTGCGTTCAACGAGCCCAAAATAATGAACGCAGTGTTCAGGTGAATGCATTGGCCCTGCACAGTCAAGTTCCAAGACGCATTGACTGGTCGACACTGAAAGACGACAAGAAGGTTCATGGTTAGACCGCAGCATATTACGAAGCCGCCAACGGTGCAGAGGGCAATCTTGAATCGAGGATCTGGGAAGAGGCGACGATAGAGTAGCAAGATGGACAGCTTGACTGCTGTGATGGCAGCGTTGTACAGCTCCTCGGTGGCGATTACCCACTAGCATACAATGTTAGCCGGCGCTCAACCATATGTGATATCGAATACTTACTTTAGCGAACGTCTCGGGGTTCTTGAGCAATACCGCGTGTTTTCCACCTCCGTAATGGACGCCTAATCAACGGGAATCTCTCAGTATTATCTCGCCATATCTATTGGGTGAGTGCATACACATTAGACCTCCTGCGACCTCTCCAGCTGCAAGAATCTAGGCGGCAACATTTGCACCGGTTAGCCATCTCTTCTTGCCAACGAGAGCGCTGATGGCGGGAGTAATGCGTTCAAAGGAATCTCACAAGTGCAACGATGGTCATGTAGTCGTCTGCTAGGATTGGAGCTTTGCATAGTCGTCGGGAAGAAAATCTGAGAACCACTGCAACAGCCGCAATGACAATGCATATGCCGTGTGATACAACGATATCGTTGGACCGATCCTGGTGGATATGTGCGAGTTGATATTGGATCTCTTGGGCATTTGGTGGTGCCATTGAACGACTTTGCCAAAGGCCCAGATGTAGAGCACAAGGCTGACTGTTTGAAGACCTTTGGTTTCGGACTCAGGGATTCCTTCGTAAACGAAGCTCGAATGTGACGCTTACACAAGCCTGAGATTGCGGAAGGATGTAGTTTTGCTCTATGTTGCTTGATGATTTTAGGTTTCTCTTCCAGCAAGCCACGAGAAGCGACTGAAGAATGCGCGGGAACAGTAGATCAAATGAGCTTTGACATGGAATAGAAGGTGCCGTTAGAGTATGGCGCCTCGCTAGAGGAGGGCCCAAAGTGGGAGGGCTGTCAAGACTCAGGACCAAATTTCGGTGCATGTGGGGTGCTAGGCTTTGGCTGTAGTATTGCGCCGATAGGTTGAGTACGTTGCAGCAGATTCGAGTCGAACACGCGGCACAGTGACATTCATGCACCTTTGACGAGTACTCGGTTCATGACGGGGCGCTGTGCTGGAGGGTGGTGCACTCAGTGGTGCATGGGGTGCCATCACCGGCGTATTGATTGATGCACTGTTGTAGGCTGTGTGCGGGTCCTTTTCTTCCTAACAATCTCTATGGTCCTTCCATACAATCATCTTTTGCGAGCATCCAATCAAAATCTGATTCAGCCCATAAGCCTGCATCTTGATTAAGGCCTCGCCTATAATCTCCGCATTCTCCAACATGAATCGCGTATTTGATGTGGTACGAGTAATAAGTCGGGCAAAACGTCGCACTCGGAGTGTATACGTGTATAGGATTAGTGGAAGTACATAGAGAGAGGCACAGCGTATGGCCAGTCGTGTGTCTCCAGGATCATCGATCATCGATTATCGATTATCGACATGAATAATTGAAACTTTAGATAACTCCTGCATGTCATGTTAAAGCCTCAGTTACCCGCAACCGTTGTGGCGTTCTTCCCACATCTTACGTCTTACGCTAGCAGCGACTACAATCGCTACACTATCAGTCGTTCTTCATACTTCGCAACCTTCGCACTGACACTCGACCAATAGAGGCTGTCCAGAGACCCTACGATGAATGATAGGCTCAGAACGAATCAGAAAACACGCCGATCTTCTCAATTGGGACCGCCAGACTACCGGTTTGAATGCGCGCATATACTATACTAACTGCATTGTGCATTGAAGCGCGCCATCGACAGCTGGCAATACCAAGACCCTGTGAAACCTCGACACGGGCATATTCTAATCGTTTGCTGAATCTGCAACGAGGAGTGAATTACAGTCACTCCCAATAGGGGCCAGCAGATGAAAAAAAGTGGATATTGTTCAAAATTCGCGGGGTTCTAGGCTCGCCCAATGCTCGATGAGATCTCGTGCGATGGTCGAGATGCTGCAGGTACCGGTACCCTTACGATTTCTTCGCGAACCTACTGGATCGGGACCCCGGCTACGGTTCACAGACGATGGCGTCGTGGACGAAGACAGACCGGTGACGAATTCCAAATCATTTTGTTCACCCATGCAGCACGTATTCAACGCGAGTTCTAAAGGCCGGGATAGCTCTTCCAAGATCAATTTGGTAGCAGGCAGAGGCCATGGATGAAAACCGAAGTCCTTCAGTAAGCATTCTAGACTGTGTCCCACGCATGGCGAAAACAGAAACATTACCTGATGGAGAACGCTCTTCGAAGGAGAGTGCTTAGTCTTCACTAGAGCACATTCGACCTGCATCATGACGAGATATCCAGTCTCCAAACACGAGCAGGCATGCCTCTGAAAGGCAGCTGAGATTCTGGCCATCGATCCCCGCCCACTTGCACTATCTAAAAGCAAAGCATGCCGAAAGTGACTTGATTCTGAGACCTCGCCATGACGACAGACATTTGAGAATGATGGTACCTAGGCACAAGTAAAGGTGGCGATCTCCTCAATGTGGCCAACCATGCTTTCTCAGAAACAAGTGGGCATGCATGCCCGCATACTGAAGATGGGTACATATCAATCCAGGATCAGTCGCAATGACGTTGGGCGATCATATCATGCACAGATGCTATTGCATGTTGAGGAAGCTCAATTGAGACTTAGAGATGGATGAAGCCGACACACAAGTGCTTGTTGCAGGACGCATGCCTATAGTAGGTAGTACAGTCGTGGTGATCGGATAGTTCAGAAGACTGCTCGAAAAAGAGTTTCATTCCTTCGACCACTCGTCAGTGAGTGGGCAATCTCCGCCCTTCCTAAATTCACTCTTCGACGGCCTTTCGTTCCTCAATCATAGGTACGTCTTCCGGAAGACGAGTATCATCCCACTTAACGACCCCCAAATCGAAATCTCGTCTGGGAGTATCACTGCCAATCGAGCTTAATATTCAATCTTTCCGGATCGTCGGCTCCGGAAATCAGATCTTGGACGCGCCCATTCCTCAAAAACCGGCGGCATTCTAGTAATCCGAAGCCGATTGTGTGTTCCCAGAGGCGTCCATTCCTATCGAGAGCTGCAATTCGAACATGCGAACCTGCGACAGCGTTGCTGCGAACGCTTTCAAGTCGCTCTTGGAGCACCGGAAGGTTTCCAACTGACATCACCACACCCAGAATTCTGCAATTTGGTGCCGGGGCCATGCATGCTCAGTAAGCAAGACCGTAGTTGTGGGGCCCGGGATGCACAAGTACTCCTGTTGTCACCGAATGTACCACTCAGGCCGGCGCTGAAGGCTTGCTCCAGGTGGTCTGATCGATTCGAAAGACTGTTCGCCATTGACATGTAGAGTTTTCAAACCTTATCAGCAGCGACTGTTGAGAGTATCAATCTATTCTGAACGTTGAAGCAAAGCGCGTCGTCGCTGTTTACTCGTGTGTTTACCACAAACGCCATCGTACAGAGCGCCAAGATCTTGATCAGTCAGCCTCCACCCGGTGTGCTGTCTGCCACCTTACTTTACACCTCAGCGAGACTATTTAGTTTCATCTTACAACAGTAAATGCTTAGTATTTGAACTCAGCTTTCTGTTCCGAGCCAAGCAGCGGAAATTATTATATATGACGGTAAGGCCGCAAAGCTTTCCTATATACCGTGCCATGTATTCTCACGGCATCGATGGTCTCCTTCCAAAAAAACACCCCCGAACTCAGATGTCATGAAACGTGTTTGGGAACACGCGTCTAGGGCAGAGTTTCGCTAGAGTATTTGTTGCACCTTTTGAATTTCTATGGAATGGTACCGACCAGATTCCAAAGGTTACCCATCACAGAATAACAATGCAAAGTATTGATGGCTCAGTAAGTTGGCAAGAAGCGCGTATAAATACCATTTCCTACCGGATGGATTATGCTTGG